CTTACCTCATTGAGCATGTGCACACCTCACAGCTGATTTTCGGCCGGTTTAAGGCCTTTTTTGGCCTCCCAAAGGCTTGAAGAAGGCTTCTGCAGGCTTTGAAGGCTGAAAACTAGCCCCGTTTCATCACTTCCTGTTTTTCTGAAAATACAGGAAGTGACGAAATGGGGCTAGTTTTCGACCTGCAGAATCCTGCAGAAGCCTTCCTCGAGCCTTTGGGAGGTCAAAAAAGGCCTCAAACTGGCTGAAAATCAGCTGTGAGGCACAATGCAGGTAAAGGGGCAGTGGCGGTGGGTGAGTGGGGATTATGCGCGCATGCATAGGGGGTGCAGTGGTGGTGCGAATTGCCTTCTGGGTGCTTGCACGCAAGTGTGAACGTGCAAGCATGCGCACAATTTTTGGCACAGGAGCCCAAAAAGGTTAGCCACCACTGTGATAGAGGATTTAATCGAGTAGGATGGTCAAAACAACTATAACGAAACCAATATTGTACAAATAATATGAATGTTAATTGTTTAGCAATACCCTAGTATGTATGGCAGAGTAATGCCAGGATGGTTGTAGTGTGTTTGATATTTACATTTGTAAACAATAAAAATATGTATTTTTAAAAAATATGGTTTCAGGTTCTGTGGAAGCAAACAAACATTGATAGTAGTTCTCCCAGTCCTTAGCAGAGATTGGTATATCCAATGCAAATCTCTATTCCTTTAGGACTCCTGCTACAGAGTGTCAGAATATTACTGAGTTATGACTTTTGGCAACCAGCTCAAATTCTGACCAAATTGAAATGGCATTTTCCCCCCTTTAATTTTATGATTTTTTTTTGTATTCTCTTCTTTATATACAGCATCTCAGCTTGTATATGGGCAATAGGACTTCTCTGAGAAAGTCTCATGGCTGTCTTCAATTTCTTTTTCAACAACTGGCATTCAAAATCAAGCCACCCACTCAAAAACTTTTGGCAGGAAGTTATTAAATATTTCTTCAGCATATTGCAAAGATTAAATAATGCTTTGGAGGCTGACAGCCAGTCAGTAGTAATGGCTGGATTGTTCTAGCCCAGTTAACAGCATTCTCTGTTTTAGTTGCTTTGTAACTAAAATTTTAGCCCAAATTAACCATTTATTTTGGATCACTCTAAGTTTTTAGTGAGCCATGTGTTGGGGTGTATTATATGATCTTAAATCTCAGTGACCTTGTAATGTCATATTCACAGGCTGATTTCACTTTCACTACCTAAATGTACAGTAACCACTAAAAAGAGGTCAACTTTATCTCTTGATACAGAGAAGAGATCTAGCACATTACTTGAGTGGGCTGAGTGGTATGTGTGAGAGTATACATAGTTATTATCTTTACCTCCCAAGATTTGAAGATTACCTTTGAAAATTAAAGAGACTAGGAGCAGACCAGTCTCTTTAATTTTTGTTGTCTCTAGAAAGCCATAGTGAATTATTTTCAAGAAATTCCTTTGGGAATCCCTTCTTTTGAGCAAACTCCTGCAAAGTGGACCTAATTTAGCATTAAAGTCTCCAAGCAATATAATTATAGATTGAGGAAACAGAATGGATCTAGTATGACCTCTAAACATATCCAATACAGGTAGTCCTTGACTTACAACATTTTTCACACTTATGATGGTCATGTGATTTACATTCAGATGCTTTACAACTTACTCACATTTATGATGGATGCGGTGTCCCAAGGTCAGGAGATTACCTTTTGCAACCTTCTGACAAGCAAGGTCAATGGGGAAACCAGATTCACTTAACAACCATGTTACTAATTTAACAACAGTGCAGTGATTCACTTAACAAATGTGGCAAGAAAAGTTGTAAAATGTGACAAAATTCACTTAACAAATTTCTCACTTAGCAACATAAATTTTGGGCTCAACTGTAGTGGTACGTTGAGAACTCCCTCAACATTGAGAACTGCCTCAAGAGTTATAATACAGGGATGTAATTGGAGGAATATATACATATATCCTCATATCTAAATTTCACAGCTAAACAATACAAAAACTTATCATTATATAGTTTCTCCCCTTGCCATTGCAATTCTTGCTTAATGAAAATATATATAGTCCACCAGAAGGTCGCCCCTTATTCTTTGTTTTTGGGGCAGGGGAAGCCCATCCCTGAAAATCCAGAAGTTGTACTAATTCGTCTTCTTCAATTGGCCAGGTTTCCTGGATGGCTGTTGCATCAAATTTAGATAAGAAACTCTACTACTAGTCCACTATCAGCCATTTCTTTCTAGCCAGCTATGTTCCAAGTCACAATTTATATTGGACTCCTGAAAGCAAGATATTCTGACTGGGTTGGTTGATTAGGAAATAAAGGTACTGAATGTCAACTTGGTTTTGGAACTGGATCAATGGTGACTATACTTTCTGTGTAAACATAATTATTGTAAAGATCAATATTACCCCTCATAAGTTTAATTGTTGCTCTTCTTTATCTTGATAGCTAGTATTTCTTTAAGACTGGCATTTCTACTAATACACGAGTACTCCAACCAAGCTTCTCATTATCTAGTTGTCATACTGGATGGTTAATTTGGAGTTGTACCTGCTGAGTATCTTTTTCCTTTACTTTTTCCTTTGGCCTAACATGGCTTCTAATTTTATTTATTGGGGATTTGGTGCTTTCAGAAACTGAGTTTGATAACAATTCCACAGAAGAGCAGCTAGAGGGGAGAAGAGTGTTCAGACTTTCTGTTGCATTAGTAACTGATTTCAACATTGAACTGGTTATTCTGATTTTCTATAAAATCAGCTGTTGAACTCCTAGGCAAAGGGTGGCAAACTGATGGATTAATTCTTTCTCATCATCCATAAACTGTAACCATTAAGTAGATCTCAGATCGATTAAGGAGACCTGAGTTCTCTTTTTATTATCCTTAGTTTGTTCTATCCTTGTTAATAGAAGGTTTCCTTGCTTGGCTGTTAATGTTTTAGAATTTTCAAGGTTAGAGTCAGCCTCCCTCGCTGTCTTGGCTCTCTGCCCAGACTTTAGCAAAAACTGGATTTGTGTAGTATAAAACACCCATATTGGCCGAATACAATATTTCCTTAAAGAGGTTTCAAGACGGAATAATATTGATGGAAGAACAATCTGCCCAAAGGCTAACAATATTCTTTTACAATCATGTCTACAGGGGAGCCAAAAATTTGTTAGTTAATTGGAATATACCCTGCAGTGTAAAAGTTGGCAAAGACAGTTCAGTATTACTCGTCTGTTATGCCACCTGTCCAGGTTCAAAGGATTATCAGCAACTTAGTAGCATCCTATGTTTCTGTAGAACTAGCCTCTCTTCCGTGTCTTCTCCATATTGCAGCACTCAATCCACGTCAGCTGTCCATGGATTAAAAATAAGTTTTGGAGCATGGGCTTTGCTATTTACTTCTTTATCTAATTTAGAGATAAATAGTTTCCCAATAGAGAATTTAATTCTTCAATCTTTTTATTTGCTTCCAAAAGCTGATCAAATATAGCAATAATTGTGCTGTCAAGAGTCAATTCTTAGCAACCAAATCCAAGTCTCCTTTAAAATGCTCTTAATATTATCCTTGTTCTCCCCTCTGCCTCTTAATGGAGCCTCATTTTCCACAAAAAGGCAGTCGTCATCCTCCTAATCCAGTAAGGAGCAGGACTTGTTTACAAAGGTTACAAGAGGAGAAGAGAAAAAGAAGGAGACTTACTTGCAGTGTCTCTTATCTGAAACAACTCCTTTATCTTTGATTGTCTGGGTGTCATTGCTGCCATGTTGTGTTTAAGTAAGGTCTCCTCCGAACTATATATACAATGTATGCCTCCTTTTAAACTTTCTTTTTGAATCCTTTAGCTTTTGTTTTTGCATTCTTGGGTGGTTTAAAGGGTTTTAAAACATGCCTCCACTTCATCAGAGAATGTTTGGAGCTGGTAAGTTCCAGAACATATAGTTTAAAACCTAATCCTAAATCTAAAACCTAAAATTACTACTCCTAGTGGAAAAAAAAACCTTAGTAGTTAATATTAGAGAAAATTAGATAAAATAAACTATTTTAACAACCTTATAAAAATAACTAAAATAAGAGGATAAGAAGCTCACTAAAAGAATTGCCACATGGCAGCCATCTTGCTCTCCTTCCCCTACTTGCAGAGTGATCTACTTTTATATTATTCGCTACAGAAAGTCTGTGGCAATGAGTGACATAAAAGTAATATAAATAAATAAATAAGGGTATTAATAGATGAAGTACCTCTAACAGGAAAGGTATAGAAGTGGTACAGATGCTTAAGAGCATCCAATCATGATCCAACCACTATTGTTGTTAGCCAAAAACACACCAGCTTGATCTATACATCATTATAAGCAGAAGAAGCAATAGCTTCTTTAAATTGTAATATTTAAAGCCTAATGCCTAATATGAGTGATGCAATGATAGTGTTGCACCATCAACAAAAACAAAAACAGTAATATATAGTGGGAAGATGTGTTTCCAGAGCTTTATAGCAATTAATATCATTTTATATAGTTATCATACAAATGATACAAATAAAGTAAAATGATAAAACTGATATAATTGCATAATTTATTAATAAGCATTAATGTAAATTTAAGTAAGTAGATTACTTTGGATGCACTAATTTTCAGGAAGTCATCAAGACATAAATGTGAGAGACATACACACAACGTCTCGTAAAAGAAGGGTTGTTAAATAAAGTATTAACTGTGATATATAAAAAACTCACATTGATGTAGCTATACTCTGATTTAACATGATTACAAATTTCATAGATAGAATAGCTAGATACACCTATTAAAACTAATGGAGCCAATTCCTCCTTGCTCAGATTTAGTGAATCTTCCTACCATCTTCCCAATAAAGTGCTTTAGAAAAATGTATCTGCCAGGATGAACCATTAACATAAGAGTTTCCTAATGATTACTTCTTGGTTTTAGATGAATAGAATGGCTAATTACTGTTATTAATTAGTTAAGAATTTTACCTGCATGCTTCCCAGCCTTTTGCTTTTCAAGCTGTCGTCGAGTGATGCTATCACGTAACCGTTTTAGATTTTCCTAGAAATGCAAAATTAAATTTTTAGGAATATGAACAAATGCATTTATTCCTAATAACATAAAAATCTGGCAAAAATTAATTGAATCAAACTGAAAAATCCAGGAGATCCAGTTTGATCTAGTGGTTAGGGCACCAGGATAGAAAGCTGGAGACAATGAGATCTAATTCCAGCTTAGCCATAAAAAGCAGATGGGTGACTTTGGGTCAGTCACTCTCTCTCAGCCCAACCCACCTCACAGATATGTTGTTGTGGGAAAAATAGGAGGAAGAAGGTGTGTTGGAGAAGTTTGCGGTCTTCAGTTATTTATAAAAATAATAAAAGCAAGAAAGAAAATGGGTATTTCTGGTAAACTTTTTGACAATAAATGTAGGCATAATAATTCATATAACTCTGCAATCTCCTTATCCACTCCACTATTATTCAATAGTCCAATTGCTTGGATAGAGGGATGAAGGGATGGAGAGATGGAGGGGATAGACAGAAAACTTCATTTTAGTCAATGATCAGTTTGAAACAAGTAATATTGTAACTAAATCCAGCCAAGTAATATAAAATATTACACTGTCCTGTCAATATCAGGATTGAAAACTAAAAATTAATAATTGTGAGTGAAACTTAAAATTAGAGGATTTAATTTATAGTGTAATGTAAGCAACATAGAAATAAAATAATGTAATATTAGATAATAAAAGTATCATTTCATAATTTATATCATCTAATTAATATGATTGATAATATGTTCATACATGATAAAAGATTGAAACAAATATTAATAATGTAGACCAAAAATTAATTGTTTTAATACATTTGCAGTTAATATGCAAAACTTTGATTCATTATATATTCTTATCTGACAGAAAGAAATTAACATAATATTCTCAAACTGATTTGGAGCATATAACACAGAAGAAAAATTAATCTTTTCCAGATATCATTATAGAAAAATAGCGTAACAGAAAATGGAGGATGGATTTAATTTAACCATCATCCCAAAGGGAGGTTCAGATAGCTGTATGAACTTTGCTAAATCTTTTCCATAAAAGTACTAAAGGCAAGTTATTGTATTTATCTTTGAAGAGAAACAGGAATTTTGACGGATCACATTTGAATGAAATCATCTGCATAAGGCAAGAATCAGACTTTTTTTCTGCTCTTCTGGGGTATGTATATGAGAGCTTATATACTGAGTGTGAATTCATGTATAAATTCAACAAAGAGAGTTAGGCAATACCCCTCTCCAACTCCCCTATGCATAAGGGTTTTATTATAGGTCTTGTGGGTCAATCTTATTCTACTCCTAAAATCTTTATGCAAATTCTGGATGAGGAATCTGTAAATCAGTATCAAATTCCCTAAGTTTTTTTTCCATAGAAGTGGTCTCAATATTGAATCAAATACTAATTTAAAATTCATAATCTAAGCCACAATCTGGAGGTAATTTTTCTCCATTAATGAATGTATCAGAAAACTAAGGCCAAAATAGATTTCAGCATTTGAAACAAGACATGGTCACAGTCAGGAACCTTCCCTGGCCTGTTGATAAGCTTTTCACTTCAGACAGTGAAACTGGTGTCCATTCGGGAGGAGTTTTTATTATTTGGGTGTTGAAACAACCACAGATACATTTGGCTGAGAATTACAAAGAATTGTAAAGTGATTTTTTCCAAACCTCCATGGGGATCTGACTTGATATTTGATATAAATTGTCCGTCTACAAAGTGCCAGAATAGAGAGGGATTTTAATTCAGCTGCAATTATCAACTTTGCTTTACTGAGGCCTCCTTTTTCTTCATTTTCAAAAGTAGTAATCTACATACTGATATTTATGCAGGGTATTGTTGATATAGTTTATAAAAGCAAACTAGAACTTCTCGTAGCCACATACTTCTGGATCAAACCATCCTGTGCATTATGTTTCTGCAGATTTGAATAAAAAGGATTTGGAGGCCTGCCTGATGGCTCTCATTGCATAATTCTTCTTCATTTAAGATTTTAGACAAGGAAATATTCTAGTTTTAATACCATATAATATATAAGGTTTCTATTTCTACAAATGAAAGATTGTGCTAGTTTGAAAGGGAAATCAGTCCTTAAAAGAAAAGGGAAATTATCACTATCTGGGCATGTCTCAATTTTCATAGAATTTACACTGATACCTTGGTTAGAAGATACCAGCACTTTGAAATAGAAACCCCAACTAGTACATAGTATCTCCTGCTACAGGCCCATTTAAAATCAAGTAAGTCAAAACAGTTAGCCAGTCAAAATTGTGCAAGGTTGTGAATATCATTCTTAGCTATGCAAAGACAGAGAACAAAATCCTCTTTTGCTTAGGGAGGGAGACTATGACAGGAAGAACTGCCTCTGGTTCCATTCAATCATTGAAATCCCCATACAATATGGTAGAAGCTGAAGGCTTACACACAAGCCACTTTTCCAAATAATTGTTGAGTTATTTTCATACATGTGTACCCTTATTTGTAAAGAGGTGGATAATAAAGGAAAAGAGTCCTTGTGGATTTTACACTGCTAATTGTTGCCAATTATTGGAGGTGGTGGTCATCTCTGTTTCAAAGCCATTGAACCAGTACTGTCCAAAGACATTTCCATGGTCATGTGGACAGCATGACACTATGGACCGCTGTTACTTTTCCACTGACGTACCTATTTATCTATTTGCATTTGATTGCTTTCAAACTGCTAGGTTGGCAGGAGCTGGAGTGAGGATGGGAGCTCACCCCATTGCATAGTCCTTGGGTCTCAAACCTGGGTTGCCAACTTTCCAGTTGACAAGCCTAGCATCTTAACTGCTCAGCCACCGCACTGTCCTAATAAAAGGTGTAATAAAAGTATTGAAATACCTTTAATACGCAAGTGCGGGCTGCTGCCCATACATGGAATGTGGAGGGGAATATTCACTGTCTGGAAAGCTAATGAGATGAATTTTGCCAGGCTCTTTTAAGTGTCCCTCCTTTGTCACTTGACTAGCTAATATAGGAACTATCTATATTGGGTTCTTGTAAAGCCCAAGTCTCTTGTAAAAAGGATGTCATGATCAGATAAAAACTGGATTAAAAAGAGATTTCTTTCCGAACTGTTATGGAGTGGGCAACTATACAAAGAGAATCAGTTTAATTTTCAGAAACCTTCCTCTTACCTTACTGTTCATTGATGAAGAAGCTGAGGGGAAATATTCCTCTAGGATAAAAAGTATTCCAGTTATCACAAGCTACCTTAAGAGGTTTTTTTACATAAATCAGAAGTTCTGTCTATTCTAGAGAATATTTTTACCATTTTTACCTATTAATATTTGAATATTTGAATTCTATTTAAAAACTCAACTATGCTATTTATGGATTGATATGGAGCAGAAACTGTAGCAGTTAACCTTTCCTGCAATAACAAAAACAAATTAAAAATAATAGGATATATAAGGTGAAGTAGGTTTAGTAATAAGATTTGTAATTTTCATCTCTTTAAAATACATACCTGTTGATAGCGAAATGATTCTGCTCTCTTCTTTTGATTTAACTGCCACTCTTTGAAACACAGGACAGCTTCATCCACAGTGAGCATCCCCAACTTCACCTGCTCTTGTAGAGTAACCAGCTGCCTCTGACCTGGAGTCTTCATACCAGCAAACGGGTCATACATACTCTGTTGAGGCTGGTTTGAAACTGTATTTATTTGTTCTTAAAATTAAAAAGAAAAAAATATTCCATGTTAGTCTCTCACAGGGAATATTACATAGTTCAATTGTGAAGTTTAAAGCAAAGCCATCTATATTCTAACTAAGGAATGTTGTTTTCCAGTACGTGAGTGTGCTGAGTGAAGAGGAGGATCAAATGGGATATTTGTGTACAACTGTCATAGGAAAGAGGAAGAAGAGAACAGTGGAAGTGTGCTATCCTGCTCACTCACAGATAACAATAGTTTAGTGCATTTATTAATATTCTCCAGCAATTCCCTTCACCAAAAACCCAGAATTGCCCCAATTAAGCCCAGCCAAAAGCAGACCAATGCTAATCCACAAAGTAATGGCCAATGAGTCCACAAGGCAACTTGAAAGTTTCCCAGTCAAAATAAATCCACCAAACTTAAATCCACAAGAGGGTTCACAAGGCAAGAAAAATCACGAGTTCATGGCATGGTGTCAATCCAAAGTGAGGCAGGAATCACAATGACTACGAAACACACAACTAGGAAATGCAGTCTTCTCCTGCCAAACTCCTATGAAACCTCTTGTGTTTGCTTGCTCTAGACATAAGCTCCAGAGAGCTGCTTCTCTGGAAGTGTCCAAGTCTGGACTAAGCTCTACCATCAAACTGGGGAAATGTGATCATTGCATAATTAGCAATGAACTCTACCCAGTCCCCACATAAACTACAATCATGCATAGTAAGCAATCAGAAACAAAATGATTAGCAGGTTTATGAAAAAGCAAGGAACAGCACAGCAATCAATCAGTAGTCTCTGCCTATGATGACTCTCCCAACGCTTCCCCAGATACCTCCCCAGTTGTCAGCTCTGAGGAGGATGAACCAGTTCCAGGCATGTCTGGCGCGGAATTGGTCAATGGCTCCAAGCAGCTGTATGAGAGGGATTTGGCTGAAGAGCAGCTGCAGCAGGACAGCCCTGAGGCTTCAGATGGGTAAAGCACACAGCTGCAGCTGGTCAGCAATGAGGAAGAGGAACTGCCTTCTGTACCTGATCCAAGGACACATTAGTCAGGAGCAGAGAAAGTCAGCCTAATTACTTGTGAGGAGACAGCCTCACCATTCTTGATGGACTGCACTGGAAGCTGGCTATTTAGCACAGCAGACAGATGGAGGTGATGCTGGGAAAAATACGTTGAATCTATTTACAGCAGCATAGAAAGTAAAGAAAGCTTCACAATACGGTATTCTGCAATCTATATGCAATGTTTCTCCTTCCAGCTAAACATTACACTGAAACTCATTCGGAAAAATGAGTTTGAGAAGCTCTAGCCAGGATCAATAAAACTCCTCAAAGGAGCATAGAAGGGAAATAAACACAAAAGAACATGAAATTAAATGAAGTCGAACTAGAAGTATATGATCCGAAGACATTCAATGTCAATAAAGCTCAGCAATCAGTATCAGACTGGAGCAGGCTTTGCTAAGCATCACAAGCTAGAACACCAGCATTATAGACCATAGCATTAGTTCCTCTAATGATTCACTTCTCTTCATCAAATTTTGCAGTTGGTGGATGGCATACTTTTATTTATAATCCAAAAGTGAAAGTGAGTCGGTTACAAAGATGAATGTAAAAAGGAGACTTTTCTCTTTTTTCTCTCTTGCTTTTTCTTGTAGTAATTTTATAAAGATTATAATTTACAATAATAAATACTAATACAAATTTTAAAAAGGAAAAATAAAAAATAAAATGCAGTAAACAAAAAAATAAAAAAACAGAAAAAAGAAATTAATATGTATGTATGTATGTATGTATGTATGTATGTATGTATGTATGTATGTTGTGGCTCTGAGGTTTGAGCCCGCTTTGATAGAGGATGAAGACTCGGACAATGGGGAAGAGGAGGATTTGGAAATGCCTTCCTCCCCAGGACCTTCCTCTTCGGCAATGCCTTCCTCCCTGATTGTGCGTCAGGTGTCGGCAGATAACCGAGAGGCAAGACCTGAGGCTAATCAGGAAAAGGAGGAGGGCATATCAGAGTCTCTGACAATCAAGCAGAGGAATGCTGGCTCGATGCGAGGCAGCGTCGCAGGCAAAAGTGTGAGCTGCAACGCAGGAGGAAGGGACGAATCAGAGACTGAGCTGAGGGACTGACACACCCCACAGGGAATAAAAGTGGGTGTGTTCGCTCTGAGAGTTTCGTACGGGACAACATGTGACTTATTCAGAGGAGCTCCGGAGTATTCTGTGTTGTGACAGCTTGTGTGATTTATATTCCTGCTTTCTTGTCAGACTTGGCAGACAGCGTGTGTGAGACTGCCAAGAACTTTATCGGCTCAAGGAATTAACTCTATAATTACTGGATTTGCTTGCTTGCTTGTATTCAGTTGGAATTTGGACTTCTCACCTCCTTTGTAAAGGTGAGACATAACACATATATATACATATACATATATTTGTTTTCGTAGATTTTCATGGGTACAGGTATGTAGGTCTAGGTGTGTTTGGGTCTTTTCCCGTGTAAGATTAAGAGTATCTTGGTGACGTTTCGGCGAGGTCCCACTCGCCATCCTCAGGCTGGTGCTTTCGGCTTCGTGCCACTGCTTCGTGCCACTTCTGAGAAGCACAGAGCCAAAGACACAAGCCTGAAGATGATGAATGAGACTTCATCGAAACATTGCCTAGATACTTCCAATCTTACGCAGGAGAAAACCCAAATAACCAAAGATCCACATACAAATACCTGCGAGAACATCAGAAAACATAAATATGTATGTATGTATGTATGTATGTATGTATGTATGTGTTTTCTTAAGTTTTTGCGGGTATTTATGTGTATGGTATTCAGCTTTGTTCGGGTATTTTCCCATGTCCTTATAGTTGTGCTTTTAAAGCGACGTTTCGGCAGAATCTCATCTGGCATCATCAGGCTTGTGTATTGGGTTCGTCTGTGTGTCAGCAGATAAAGGTAATGCCACAGTAGTAATGGACAAAAAAAAAAATGAAACAAAACTGACCTACTCCAAGACTCGACATACAAACCCATAAACACGGAACCAACCACATATCTGGAAAAAATAACCAAGAAGAAAATCATAATCAGCAACATGAGGAAATAGATCCAACAGACGATCATCCCAAGAGAAAAATCTTCCAGATGCCCCAAACTATACGGCCTCCCCAAAATACACAAAGAAGGCATACCTCTGAGACCCATAGTCACTCCAGAGGAGCACCACTACAAACCTAGCCAAATACCTAGCAAAGCAGCTACAGCCTCATGCTGAAGCAGCAGCTTCACATGTACAAAACTCATATCACCTCTTAGAAATGATCAAAAATCTACATGTGAAACAAAAAGATCTGCTTGTAAGTTTCGACGTGGTTTCACTATTCACTGAAGTCCCGATAAAAGAAACCCTAGAAATCAACAAAAACAAAAATACCAAACACCCAAACACCTCATGGAACTAGCAGAACACTGCTTAACCAACATGTATTTCATATACAAAGGACAAAGATACAAGCAAATTGAAGGAGCCCCTATGGGATCACCACTGTCACCGATTATTGCAAACCTGTACATGGAAGAATTCGAATCCAGAGCCCTGGCTAATGCCACCTACAAATCCAAACTATGGTTAAGATACATCGATAACACATTTGTTATTTGGCCCCATGGAAAAGAAAACCTAAACAATTTCCTAACACACCTAAACAGCACACACCCCAAAATCAAATTCACCATGGAAATGGAAACAAACAACACACTTGTGGGAACACACTTCCTCACTAGTCCAACACATGAATGCCATAGGTCATAGCATCGACTTCAATGGCACCAAAACCCTAGCCACTATAGAAAACCCCAGCTACAGAATTATCAGAGAAGCCATAGAGACTGAAAAACAACCTGAAAGCATGAATAGAAGAGATGATTCCACCAGGCTGTCAATCATTTGGAAGCCTGCACTCACAAACAAAAAAATCTCTACACCACAAGCTAAAAAAACACCTGGGCACAAACCAACCCCCCCCATACCTCCAGCCCAAACACACCCCATCCAGCCACCCAGATGAAACCTAGTTTCCTAATAAACGATAGCCAGCCATTCACCCGAAGCCAAGCCATGCTAAAAGCCCCCAATACACAAAACACAATGTTACCAGCTAATCAAGACAAAAAAAAACAAAACACTACAAAACAGACAGAAGATATTAGAAACACCAATCAAGCAGAACACAGAAAACTCGAACTTCCGGTTGCAAGGCTTCGGCGGCGGCAGGAATCCGCTTCTCTGCGGGTCCCTGCTGCGCTCGCCGCTGAGGTACCCCCAATCCAACTGGATTTGGGGGTTGTCGCTGCCCCAAAGAGGCAGCGGAAGACAGAGGAGATCCAGGCAGGGTTCTGGGGATATCGCACCCCCTTTCCCCAGCCGGCTAGACTCCTTTTTCCTGAGGCGGTGGAGCGGCTGTCAGAAATGGCAGCCACAAAGGAATCTTCAACCGGATAAGACTCTGCATGAGGAAGACAGAAGGAGAAGTTTTCTTGGCTGAACCGGGACATTAAGTTACTTTTAAAACACCCTGGAAACTTGACTTTCGGATTGATACATTTGTTTCCAAAAGAAGTTGTTACGGGCGGCGAAAGTGCTGAAGGAAAGTTCACTCCCCTTCCTTACGGAGAAGGCAAATGAGCACAGAAAAACCTGCTTCTTTAAGGTAAAAACAAGCTCTTTGTTATAAGTGGGAAGGAGAGGACTAAAAAAAAATCTTTAAAAACTTGTTGGAGGAGACACTTTGAAGATTATAAGACCAACAACTAATTGTAATACGGCTTTAAAATATATTTGGGATTTTGCCCCAGGAGGAAAAGTTGCAAAGAGAAGAAGAGGAAATAATTTCTGTCTGTTTGGATTGTTTGATAACTTTGACATTTGCAAATTACTTTAAGATTAAAAACATCTGGGTTGTTCTTAAAAATTTACAATGGCACCATCTGTGGATCAACTAAAAATGGAATATGAAAAAT